CTTGAAGCGTTTCAAAATTGGACCGCACAGCAGCGTCAAAAATCTAACTTGTAGCTCACCGAACTCGATGATAGAAGGATCGTTTGGTAAATCGCGGACCGCTAGTCTGTAGTGTATCGCAAGGGGTACAACCTCAGCTACTAACATTGTACACAAGCGACCGCTGCGGACGGTAAATTTACGATAGTAGTTTCGTACTGGAGTTAGACTTTGGAAAACCGAGATATGCAGGCGTTTCCAGGCGTTTCCTGTTTTTTTGAAGAGGAAGTACTGCGATCTCCCCTCCGCGCCCTTAAGGCGGGAGGACGATTGGTTGTGTTTTTTTACGTTGTCGTGGCTGGGCGCCCTTCTGGCACCAAAGGGAGGAACGACAGCATTTTGGACGTTAAATCGGGGCTCGGCACGCTCCTTTGCCCTGCCTCACGGCCGCAGCACTGGACAAAGGCGATCGATGTCAGCGGTGGTTGCATGCATGCGTACATGCTGCCCTTCTCCTCGACCGCAGCAACAGCCACAGCCTTCGATGTTCGCACCGAATGAAGAAAGTCAGTTGTCTGCCTCCGGCAGCCGACGTTGACTACCCAACAGCGGCGTTGTTAGGCCCGTGTTTTTTTTTTCTCATAGGGTGTTTAGCTGTTTTCTCTGCACCCGTAGCCCCTTTCCGTGCATTCTCTGGTGGTCGGTTGGGTGCGCCGGTAGTGAACGCCCGCCCTCCTTGGCGCCGACCGGTGCCGGATGCTCGGTTCGCCCGTTGTCCGTTCTTCTGTGCGTGAAACCAGTTTCTATTTGATGGGCTGGAGCCCGACCTTTTGGACGATCGGGAATAACATCCTCACAGGACATGTGCACCAAGACAAAGGAGGAGGAGGGAAGAAGAACAGCGCGGCCGGTATGTTGCGGCGCGGTGTGTGGAGTGCCGTATGCCTTCGGCTCTTGGGAACACACTCCTTGGGTAGACTAGCAGCCTGCGGCGGCCCGCTTTATTGTCGTCCTTGACGGCAGGAGAGAGCCGCAAGGGTGGAAGATGGAGCTATTTAGCGCGTGCGAATACGTTGGACGCGTCACCCGACTTCCCCGATTGCATGCTTCATCCAACATGTTTTGTTGTGCGTCTTTCATCGCCATCCGTACATGCATGTATAATGTGTCTTTCATCACCATCGTCCGCCTGCGCAAGGCGGGAGTGAGGGCTCGCCGAGGGTTTTGGTGTCTAGGAGGTCTTGCATGTAATTCGATCGATGTGTGTTCTTGCTTTGCACAGCCGGAGTACGACCAAAATTGACGTATTTTTGTGCCGCCGAAGAATTTTTAATGTGGGTTGTCTGTTCTTTGTCGGTTGGTTCTGTCTTCCTGCGGAGAGAACCAACAGCGTTTTCCGACGTGATTCCCCTTGAGCAACGCGGTCTGCGTTACGAACAGTATTTTTGTTACTCCACCTACGAAAAACGTTGACCCGTGAGCCCGGCCGCCCTCCCTTTGCTTGCGCCACGTCCGAACGATCGATTAACGACGACGATGGTCCCGCGATCGGTATCGACACCGGTAGAAGGCGATGTAGCGGCGGTGCCAAAGGCGAAGCTCAGCCTTTTTAAGCGTGTGGCGAACCTTCCTTCCAAGGTTAAGAGGTGGGTTCGTTAAGCATTGCTGCTACTGTTCTGCTGCGGTTAGGTGGGGTCGCTCAGTATTGTACGGCCATGTCCGCTTCGCGTTCAGCGATGCGGAGCGTTACCTTAGGGTAGAGATACCCCGCCGAAAGCTTTTTTGTTTTGTTCGAGGAGCTATTGACAGCTTAAGTTTGTACTCGTTGCGAACCGTTATGGTCGACCTGTACTCGGGATATTTCCTTTTTGTTCGTTGGAAACTTCGGTACCGATTTACCCGATGCTTGAAAAAAAAACCGCCAGGTTTTCGTTGTAGCTCTGCCAGTTTCCGTTTCTCGAATGCCCTTCTTAACCTCTGCCCCCCACTCGGCTCCCTCCTGCCCACATCACAGTGTATAACCCCTGCCTATTTTGCCGTCCATTTCGAGTTTTTGTTTGTTTGCGCAACCCACCTCTTTTGGGGTCTGTTTAGTTGACTTCCCGCCCCACCGGACCAACACACCCGACCTTGCCCCCCCCCCGCCCCCTGCACGCACGCCTTCTCCCTTTTATCCAATACCAGCATCGCTGAGAGCCCCGCCGTCCGAAGAGTCTTAAGCCCGCCAATAGTAGCCTGCATGACGGGACTGGTGATAGGCCTGTCCCCTCCCCTTCGTTGGCTGCTGATGAGGGAGGGGGCTCCGCTGGGTCCGATGTGGTCTGCCTTCAGCAACCTGGTGAGATAAATAGGCCAAAAATGCCGACAAATTGATAATATCAACCCTCATGGCCCTATTTAGCAACCCTTGTTGACTTGTAGCAAGGCCTTCGTGAGATCAAGAGTGAAAATGCAACCGAACTCGAGAGTGTGCTCGAGAAATAGTTTGTTTGTTTTTTTCCCGGAAATTTCTCTCGAACTCTGTTCGTTTCCTCCCCAAGCTGATGGGCAGTACGTACATGGTCCAGGACACAGTCCATCACCTTGTTCCTGCTATGGATACTGCCGTGGATGGTTGTGACCGACATGGGTTTTCTACCCCTGCCCCCCCTGCTTGTTCCTCTCTCCCGCGATGTGTTACGCTCCGCGCGAATTGGTCGTATCAGACGGCGGCGTACACTCCATCAGGCGTTCTGGTTCTGGCGGGGAGCTTGGCGAACTGCCCCCCGGGAAAGTGGTTCTCCCGAGACACCAAGAAAACCATCTTGGCGGTTGGCATGGCTAGGTGGTTCTTGTTGCCGCTCGTGACCTCAGGTACAAAAAGCTACCCTTTGCTGCCTGTTGCAGACCTCTCGCTTTTGAGACGAGGAACATTACCGTACGCGCGAACCTCCCTATTTACGTGGTTTGGAGTATTTTAAGTCCCGTGAAAAAAATCGGTACGTGGAATGCCTCGGAAGTCTCTGCAATCGAGGTCCAATCGCATAAGAAACGTTCAGCAGAACGTTGAATCCAGCACGGGGTCACTTTGTACACTAGGCACGCCGCACATCGCGAGTTAAGAAGCCAACAGCAATGCCGTTGGAATCGCGGAACCTCGATTGTGGAACGATAACCGTGTTGTGGAACGTGCCAACAATGAAGCTTAAGCTTTACATACGTGTACGATGTTGAGGTGCTACTCGTGTTTTGTTTTTGATTACGGGTTGGAGGTGCCGGGTAGGGTGTGCAGCGCGCGCGGCCTGACTGCCCTGTCGACATCCCATAGACAGTACCGTCCCGGTACATGTATTGACTTTTTTTTTTGAGACCCTATACAGGCTTTTTATTTATTTTTTTTCGTTAAGAAACACAGATATCTCAGCGGTGGGTCCTATGTTTCATCCTGCATGGTAGTAGTCTACCGCTGGCGACACAAGATATCACACCCCCTGGCCCGATTCTCAAGGCTCGGTTACTCCACCGCAGCAACAAGTAGCGGCGCCGAAAGTTAATGGCAGCGCTGGAACCGTTTCGTCGTGATGATTCCGATAACATATGTGTTGTTTGATTTGTACACTGCGATTTATCGCAGTACTAGTTACATCCTCGTCCGTCGTGGCGTAGTGTTGATTTGAATTAAGATCGGTCCCGGGGGGGTGATATCTTGCGTCACCCTACGGTGTTCTCGACGGTGGCGACGACGTAAGAAACTGGGCCTCGACACGACAACGAAAGTTGGCGTTGCTGAATAGCGGGCCGTTAGTGTACTGCGGTTGCCATGGTGCCAGTGTTTTCGGCAGCTTGATGTATTATTCTCGAGACAACCCTGCTTCACAGAGAAGTACATCGTCTAGTTTTTGTTTCGCGTGTAATCCAGTCAATGCTATCTGTTGCCCGGTGCCTCTTTTTTTTTTTTCCTTCCCGGCAGGGCTGCTGTTCGGTGGGGTTAAGTATGGACTAGTGCCTCCAGACCCGATGCTGCTCTTCGTGCTGCTGATCGAGTCATGCATGCCTTCGGCGCAGAACTCCGTCATCATGCTGCAGGTGCGAGTCTCTGCCTTCATCTCCGTGTTAGTGTGTTGGAGACTGCTGCTGTGCGGCGTGTTTCCCGCTGAAACTGCGTCGTGTCTGGCTCAAATCCCTCGTCTTCCGTTTCATGTGACGTTTCTATGTCATTGGGTGGCGTTTACGTCTCGTGCTCGAAGGAGCATGCAGCGCGCCTTGTTGTAGAGATAGACTATGCGCGAATGCGGGGTGTTTTGTGCGGCGTTCCCAGACATTCCTTCGCGGGTCGAAGACTGTTTTGGCTGCGTACTGGGTCGGACCCCAACCGCTGTGTGTGCGGTTGCATCCATGTGCTCATTTTTGACACACTGGTGTTTCGCCCGGATGTATAATGTGGCATTCCCTCTTCTCTGCACTCTGCAGGATCACTGACATGTTGGGATGTGCTGAGATACATGTATATCCCTTCCTCTGGATGTCGCGATTTAGATGCCGACAGGTTATTTACGCCAATACGTTTTCGACTGCGATTGTCTGTGTCCTGCTACAGTACCGCGCGCAAGTGATGCATTATGTGCTTGCGACCTTTAGTTGTTGCTTGACGAATAAGAAATAAATACCCGCACAACTGGTGTGCGACTGGTTTTCGCGCAAGGTACTGGCTGTACCTCTATTCGCACTATTAATAGCACGCACCTGCTGCGTCACCGTCTGTGTTGTCGCTTGAAGTACGATGGACACAAAACTTCCGTCTAATCGGCTCGTTGTCTCCATTGTCGTTCCTTCCCGGCGGTGCCTCAAGTGTGTCCGTACCGCTCTTCTTCCCTGCAGAAAAGCAGAACGCCCCCATATGCGTAGCCGGGCTGATGGTATCCTTGTAGTATCCAGCGACGCACGCTATGGACCACTCACTTTCCGTATGTTTCGGGGGGCCAAGCGAAGAGCCGTCGGTTTCATGTGGGCCATATTAAAACCGTCATTGTCTTTCGTCCTGTGTGTGCTTGACAGGTGGCCGGGTTGCAAGACGAAGCTGGGAGGAACGCGAGGACCCTTTGCACCCTCTACCTCATCTCCATCGTGCCAGTGAGCATCCTTCTCACCGTCTTCATCTCCGCCCTTAAGCTTGTGTGATAGTGTGGGGGTCACGACGAATAGTCTAGCTTCGATGCGACATGGTGCCTTCATCTCGGCAGTGAAGCTGTGTGGTACTGTTGTAGTGTCGGATCGCGGCGTTGGTGTGGGTGTGAATGATGCGCATTCCAAACAGAGGAGGAACCTGCAATAGGTAGGCAGGTTTGGCGACACGCCTAACCTCGTTGTTTGGCTAGGAGCACACATATGTAGCGTACTTTTTTGTGTGTTCTGTCTCTGTTTAAGGTATTAGGGGTTGTAGCAGAGAAGAGCAAGTCGGCTTGAATTGCCCTTTGCACCCTACTACTATATAGATATCGCAGGTGGACCTAGATCTGCCGTACGAAAAACGTTTTGATGCGGCTGCCCATGGAGAGCTCACGTGGCCTCCCCGCTTCCCCGAGGCGGTGCATGGTTAACGTGATCATGGCGACGGGTAGTAGCAGCAGATAGTGATGGCGGTAGCAAAGGTGAAAGCTCTGCCCACACCTTTTAAGGAAGGTGTATACTCGGAAGGTGTACACTCGGCTCAACGGTTGAGGGGTGCTACGAGCATGTGTTGGTTCTTGAGTGCCGTAGAATCTGGATGTGACGAACAGACATTATGCTTGTTGTTTTGCCCTAATTGGGCGTAAAGGCGCTCGACGTGCATACCAGCAATTTGTTGGAGTTGTGCGGCTTGCCTGATGTAACCAAGAGAGCAATCCTTGCCACACCACAGGTGGGCCAGCCTGTAGTGCATGTCGAGTTGTCCGCATTTTCTTTCTGTGATCTTTCTGTGCGTTCTCTCGCCCGTTTCCCCTCTCCACGAGCACTCGGCGGTGATTGTAGGGTTGGGGAAATGAGAACATACGGCATGTGTGTGGATCCCTCGGGTGCTCTCCAAAAACCTAAGCCAACCTGATTCGCGCACTTGGACACGCAGTGGGCTATGAGCCAGCCCTGTTGCTGTGTGCCTCGTCAAGTCCCGGGAACGTAGTAAACAATGACTTGCCCCTTGTACACCCACCTTGCGAATAGTTCTCAAGTTTAACTTGCAGCACGTACCAAAAGAAGGGGAACACGGAAAGAAACAGCAGGAGATGACGTAGTACTGAGACGAAGGCTGTGTGAAACAAGGAATACTGATCCATGTGAAGAAGGAATATCAGGCAACCCACGGGCCTTTGGCAATGGGCGTCGAGAACCGGCAAGATGCGGTGGTCTTGTATTCGGGCTACTTGTATAAGCTGTGAGAAGGTGTCATACGCCCAGAGAATACTACCCAGTAGGGTTTGATGGAGAGTTACACGAAATATACCCTTATGTACGGAATCCGTTTCCCTGTCGTCAAACCGTTGACTGCCCGCTCATAGGCTGCCTCCTGTTTCGTACGCCTTGTGGTGAGTACAAAGTACATACTGCGGTTCTCGACTTCGTCCTTTGTTGTTACTGCATGTATGCTGATGCGTGGACAACAGACGGAATTGAAATAGCAGGAGAACTAGAGGCCTGCACTCTTGGCGTACCTCTCTCCCTCCAGCACCATGCAGCAAATCGTCCTGTTTGGCATCACAACGTTCCTGCTGGGAGGCGGCGGTGCCGTGGAAATGCATGATTGTGTTCGCTGCGGCATGTAGAAAAAATGTTGTCACTTTTTCGCAGTTCATGGTAGCGACGGTGACCGCGAGAACACCGTAAGCTCGCGTTTGTTTGCATCTGTGTAGTATGTGGATCGGATCTGAATTCGAATCCTCACAAACGGGTTGGTCTGGAGACGCACCCGGAGTACGTAGCATCGTTGGATCGTTGGATCGATGGTCGCCTGGGAGACTGGGAGATCCAGTAGAAAAGGAGCCAGCGCGCTTTTCGCGGGACATTCAAATTGATCAGTGATAACACAGCTTTGCGAACTTCGAGAGCAGAGAGTACTTAGAAGACACGCATCTTGGTGCCTTCTTAAGAGGATGGAAGATAAAGTCTCCTTCAGCAAGCTACGCAAAGGGAGTGCGCGTAAGAGGAGGTGGGAATCCGGGTGCTATGTAGTACAGGAGGGGCGGCGGAAAAAAAAAACGTGCTATCCTGACAGTCCCGTGAGCATTGCATCCACGGAGGCCACCCTTGACACATGCGCAGAGCTTGTATGCCGCGGGCGGCGCTCACAGTGCTTCTTGGCAGCTATGCTGGCACAAACTCTAGCGTGATAGGCTATGGAGGTTATACGTTGTCCATCGTCCAACGAGTACCTCCAACGGCGCCCATATTCCGCAGTCGTCTCCTCTGCCGCGCCGGCGCTTGAAGACACACACCCTGAGTTGTTCGACAGCGCCAACAGATGGATGCTGGATGGATCCTGCAGGTGATGCTTCTGCTGGAGTTGGTCGCGGTGCCGGCGGTTCCGCTGAAGTTGGATTGACGAACGAGGCGTTGTTCAATGCTTCGCACGGCACTCCTTCGGAAGGTGCGGTCCGAGACGATGCCATCGGAGATCTGGCTCGATCAGCTGCAGCAGCACCTGGTGTATTTGAGGTCGCGCGCATGGCAGCCCGGAAGAGGAGGCGCGAGCAGCGGGAACGTGGTCACCGGGCTGGGGATCCTCGAGGCCGCGTGGCAGTGGTCAATCCAGAGCGGTTCGATCCCGTCACCGACGGCGCGAACGAGACTACTGCTGCTGTGCACCCAGCTCTTCCTCTTCCATCTGCACGGATGAGCGTGCTTGACGTTCACCGCTTGGCCGTTCGCGAAAACGCCGTGAGAGGAGGGACCGACGAGCTGCCGCTGCTGCTGCTACGCTTGGCCCCGTTGCTGATGTTAGCTTAACAGCTCAACATGCACCGGCCGCAGATGTTGACGATGCAGCTGCTGACGATAAGAAGAACGCTCCGTCACCCGCGCTGAAGGCGTTTGAGGCAGCACGAATGGCCTTCCGGGCGACACGTCGAGGTGCAACTGCTGTGTCCCAAGATGAAGATCACAGAGGGGGGCAGTGGGGTAAAATACAGGGGGGGGCAGAAGCAGAACGTAGGGGAGAGACTGCGAGAGGGCGAGAAGGAGAAAATACAGAAGCAGGCGGAGGTGCAAGACGACCGAAGGGAAGAGGGGGAGGAGGAGGAGGAGGAGGAGGAGGAGGAGCAAGGAACACAAGACAACAACGACCACACGGCGGTGATGACGACTCTACTGGAAATACTCTCTGGGAAGACCACACTCCACCGCGATATGCGCTTGACCTGGCCCTCGAACTCTGTCCACTCCGCAATTGCCCAGGCGGGGCCTGGTGAACTCCGCGGAGATTCAACCAACGTTGACTGCATACAAGGTTGGTGCGCGGTTGAGACCACAGTTGGGTTGGTTCAATTTACGCTTGGTCAAGATTCTCCGCCAAGCTTGTCTATCATTTATTCGAAGGTGAGAAATATCCATCATACATCCCCAAACAAGACAAAACGCTGATCGGTCGGCGGTTGGCGGATCCGTCTACTCCTCCCCGTTGTTAGTCAGCCAAGATGACACCAGGCCATCAGAAGACACGATTTTCCCAAGACTTCCCAAGGTGCCGTCCTCGATTCCACCGTGGATGACCCCACCCGTCGACCCTGGATCTTGGGTCGTGCCATGTTTTTTTTTTACTTTTTTGAAATTCCGCCGCAGGTGCGTTGACCAATCAGCGAATTGAGTGCCACGAAAGTCTACATACATTGTTGACTATACTTTGTACAAAGCTAGAAGATACCTCCTGCTGGGCGGTGTTGGGTATCTCGGCGAAGCGGGGGTAAGTCCGAGCCGGAACTGTTTCAATTTCAGGGAAGAAAACGCCTCCAATTTTTCATTGCGACAAAAAAAGGTGTTTGCTAAACTATTTTCTACTGCGTACACGTCCGTCATCAGCGATCATCATCGTGACTATCAGCACGTTATCGAGTTGCCGGTTCCTTTCGCCGCTGTTGCGTTATCTTTATCATTCCTTCTACGCGCCATACCCTGCCTCTCCTGCGTTCCAGAGCGTGCTACAATGTTACGGCGCCAAAGATCTCTCAAGCCGCCGCTCTTCGCCATAGAGGTAAGTCATGCGCTCGCGGGGCGATTTCATCTTGCCTTCGCTGAGTGGGATTCCGTTTCCTTTGACAGCATGCAGGATTCATCAGGTAAGGTATTTCAGCGCTTTCAGAACGTTGCTCTTGGTACTTTTAGCGTATGTTTTTCCGAGCTACCCTTGCCTGCGCGTACCGATGATGACGCAGATAATGAAGGCTGTAGCCGAAGCCGGCCTTGTGCCAGACCTCGACATGTTCGTGGCGGCAGCGGAGGCGCGCTCGAGCGCCGGAGACGACGCGGGAGCGTTGCATTATCTACGACCAGGCGGACAAGCTCGTATCGCTACGAGGAAACAACTCGCGTGGGCTGGGTCCCCCGCAGTCGCAAGGAGAGGTGGGGGACGAAAACGATCAACAGCCGGACGATGATGGTGATGATGATGGAGGTGGCGCAGGTAGAGCGGCGAAACGTCGCTTTTTTCAACAGCAGCGGTAGAGCGTCGTCAGCCGCGAGCGAGCGCGCTTCGCGCCAAGAATGTCGAGGTGGAAACGCGAAGACCGGTCACGGGCCTCCTCCCGCTCCCGGGTGTGCCATGGGGAGGCACGCAGCAACCGCGCGCCCCGGAGGGAAGGAGGTAGATGCCAATGCCAAGGGCGCCGAGCTAGAGCAAGAAACGCTCTCGATTCTGGACCCAAGCAGCGGCAAGCGGCCTCACGACGTGGTAGATGCGATGGGCGACGAGCTAATCGAGCAAGAAGAGCTCTCAGTGCTTGATGCGGGCAGCGGCCACATCATGCGTGGTAGCAATGAGCAGCACGCGCCTAGCCAGGACAAGAATAGCGGCGTTCTCGAGCCAAGCCTGGGACCCCCGGCAGGAGGCGTCGCCACGCGGAGCGATCGACACACGGAGGCTGGTGGTGGGATAGGCAATGTGGCCGAGCACAAGCAAGGCCTGGGACGACTGTGCGGGGCGGTGTGGCGCTCGCTGGGGCAGCATCAGACGGAGAGAGCCTACCAGCTGGCCCTCTGCATGGAGCTCGTGAGACGGGGGGTCACCGTGCACAACGAGGCGGAGATTCCGAGCGCGCAGTACAGGGGGGAGTACGTCGGCTGGAGGAGGCTGGACCTTCTGCTGCGCGTGGCGGACGGGTCGATGGCGGTCATAGAAGTCAAGGCCGTCAAGACGATCATCATGTCCGAAGCCGGCCGCAGAGGCGAGGGCGCTAGCAGCAGTAGCAGCAGCAGCAGCAGCAGCAGCAGCGGTGGTAGCACAAAAAGAGAAAGTAGCAAATACGGGAGACGCTACAGGAACTACCACAATTATAGTCGTCGCCGTAGTAGCGAATACTCGTACGCTAGCCAAACCAGGCACTACCTGGATGTTTCCGGCATCAGCCACGGTTTTCTGGTCAACTTCTCGCGGGACGCGGGATTCCCACCACCACGTCGCCACCGGCGAGAGAACGGCAGCCGAGCAGCAGCAGCAGTGTTTCGACAGGAGCCGCTGTTCGGAGCGGCTACTCCTCTAAGCGACGCCCCTCAGCACAGCAGCAACAGGCCTACTACTAGTAGTAGGTGGCGCCGCGGCGACGATGATGACAATGGCCCCCAGGTGTGGTACTTCTACCGAGAGAATCGGTAGCACCGTGGGAGGCGGAGATATGGCACCCCCCCGTGGAACGAGTTTGTTTCAAAGCGCGATCGCTCCGCAACCAAGCGCTTGTTATTGTGCCAACACCACGAATGTTCGTTTTCGAAACATAACTCTTGTCGAGGCCTTTCCGTCGACGTATGTATCGGGCTCTTTCCGCGCCCCCTTGGTTGTGAACCAATCGAGCTTTGACAGTAGTCGGTCTAGGGGGGGTGGTATCTCTCCGCGCGCCCGTACGGTAGGGAACAAACCATCTCGGACGAACTGTCTGCCCGTGACCAGTGACGTTCTTGTTGTATGGACCCGTAAAGCATGGGGGCTTAACGGCGACAATTTTGTGTACAAAGTGCTCCGGCTCGAAGAATGAAGCAGCTTCTTCACAATAGGCTACTACGCTGCGCGGCATTGTTGTGTAAATACTGTAGTGGATTTCTGAGACTATTGCTGCCGAACATTGTTCTGTTGTTGTGTTAATACTACTATGACGTCATTTTTGGGCATCACTATTCTATGCATAAGACGTGATCAACGACAGACGGTGGCGTCCTGGGAGCATTGATTGGATGGGAGCATTCCTGTGTGAAGCAAGAGCAACAATAGGGTATGCCGGCAACAGCTGCACGGAGGACCAGAAGTTGACGCTAAATAGTAAATGTAGGAGTTTGGCAGGGAATCCAAGCGGCTTGGCGTGTTGCGGGGGGTGTGCGTTCGTTCATGCACTACGTTGCGCAAATAAACGTGTCGGTCCGTCCTTGGTTGAAACAATGTATTCCTGTACAAGTAGAAAACGCGCTGTTGGCATTCTTTGGGCTAAGACGACGTCAAGTCGAAAGACTATTGTACGAACTTCGCGACAAAAAAAGAGGTATAGTTCTCACTCCTTGCGAGAATCGAACTGGGAGTCATTCGGCTACAATATGGATCAACCTGTTCACCCTGGCGTAGATCACGTAGCAGCTACGGATGACTTATCAGTGCCAAAATGCCAAAATGTCCCCTATAAACAAGATCGGTTTGAACTGCTTCGACGTGCACCTCACTGCAGTGCAGTGCCTGCATTACATACATACCTACCTATCTGCTGTCCTCTGTTGGACCGAGGTTGGTATTGCAAGACTCATTCTCTGTGTCGCTTGCGGTCAGCCCGCCCGGTGTTACGACTAGTATTGGGTATTTATTGTCATCACTTGAAACAAACCTAGACTAGCTAACCCTCGATCTTTCTGCAGGAATGAATACAGAAGGGGGGTCGTCTTCTCGAGGTTGGTCCCGAGGTTGCCAGTACCATTTAGTGTGTTGGTGGAGAACCTTGGTGTCGGTGAGCATGATGTAATGTGTAGAATGTACGTACAAAGCTTTGTATGGAGTGGGCATGCACCAACGTTTCCTTGAAAAAGCCTGGTGGTCCATCCAACCAAATTGTTGTCATGCCCACTCTCACAGCATGGGCCTGCTTCTTCTTCGTTGTGCTTGGTTGATTGTGGGGACTTCGTCTTCCACGGTCGGTCGGTCGTTCTGTGTGCTGTCTCGCGGGGTTGATTGTCGTTCAACATGCATGCATATATACCTATAATTGTAGGTCGATTTCGTTTTCAGCGTGGTTCACGGAGGGAGGAACCCCGAAGTCGACATAAAATAGTCAATCATCCGACGGCCTAACAAGCATGGGTTCTTGGCGTTCTTTGTCCGCGAGAACGCGCGCCCTCCCCGAGTCACCGTCCTTCAGGCCTCCACGAAAGCTACAAGAAGTTTTACCACATCCTACATAAAATGAAGGATGTATCCGGATGCTTTTGTTCTTAGCGCCAACTGGTAGTATCACTGATAACGCAGAGAGTGTTAGGCTTACACAAACTCAGAACAAGCCAAGTCTCCAGTCGGTTTCAATCCACTTAGTGAAAAGACTTCCACCACATCCCTTTCGACTGAGGTTATACAATACATTGTCTCGAACGGGTAGTGTTTCTGTGAGGTTGTGTTTACTTTCTAAAAAGCGTTGAACGAGCTATTCACTAAAAAAAGTGGCTTTCGCATGTATGTGTCTTATGTGTTCTCCTCCGGGTGAATCCATTGGTTGGAGATCTGCTGTCCTCCGCTGTCTTCCCGGAAGGATGGATTTTTTTTTGTGGTGGTGTGTGTGTGCGTGTTGGTTTTGATGTTTCGTGGGGCCTCCGAACGACAAAACCTAAATAGTGGCGCGCGATGCGCCATGTTGCGTGCACGTGTGCACGTTGCAAACGGGCATACATTTGCCTACCTTGTCCATTGCCGTGTACGAAGGAGGTGAGACACCGTGTTGGTGGTGGCGCAGTTTTTCGGTGCCCACACAGAGGGGGGGGGGTGACGCATAGTCGTCTTGCATGCCGTATTCGTTACTACTGTAGGCTAATGGCCTCGCGCACAGGGGGGTGGGAAATCGAGCCCTAACCGTTCACTGCTGCGGAATAAAGGAAAATCTCGTCCTGAAAATACTGCAGTGCCGCCATTACTGCTGTGGTGACAATTTTTTTTCTTGGTCAAGAATCGGTTCGTATTCTATGTAAACCTGGCTTCCGCACGTGCGTGCTCGAGCGACACTCATTGCCACAAGCTATCAAACGACTTTCTAGCCTCCAATACTACGACGCCGAAGGGACAACCATATTCGGCAAGTAAATTCAAACTCCGCAGTATGCAGGCGTCACGTTGAAATCACCCCCCCCCGTCTGGGTGCACTCCTGCTGCTTTTTTGTAAGAATCCGTGAGAACGAAACAAAGAAAGGACTCAACGAAAAACAAACGCGAATAACACACACACACTACAAAAAAAAAAACAGCACTTCTTGCGCGACAAAGACATCAGGTGCCGCCGATTTCTGATTGGCCGAAATACATGTGCCATTCTTCAAACCCTGAGTTCAATGCCGGAGTTGTGGCGAGGAGCCCTCGGGCGCCAGCAGCAAGAAAAGCAAGCGACCAATCAGACACTTTCTCGCTCAGCGCTGTTTCTTCTACATGGACGGTCAAGTCAGTGCCCGCGAAGACACGGTACAGCAGCAAAACAGCTAAATAGCTACTGTATGATACCAAGGTGGGGAAAGGCCAAACAACTAAATTCTCAGTAACCCACAGTAACGGCGGGCGCCAAGATTTCGTCCAACTACGAAGACTCCCCACGAGGGGCTGACGTGCTAAAGTGGTAGACCCCCCCCCCAAAAAAAGAAAAAAACGGTCCAATCGACACACATTGGTGGCGACGAAACGCTTGCCGAAACGGCACGCCAGCGAATCATCACACAAAATGAGCAACAACTCCCCAACTTATGGCCTGCCTCCCGTAGTACCGGTACTCTAGTTACAAGAATCGAGGCTTGTGGTCTAACCCAAAACAACAACACAAAGCGGTTCCACAGAGGTTCGCCAGCCGTAGAGGCAGCGGAGATGAGAATTAGGGCGGCGGCGGAGGCGGGGGGCTCTCCGTCACGTCACTCCCACCTCGCCAACTACCAGCCTCTGCCATTTAAATCACCCCTCGCCATAAACCTTTGCCGTGTTCCTTAAAAAGCGTGTTTCTAAGACTCGAGAGCATGTCTTGAAAATAGCTGGCGCGATAGGAAGATTTGGTGCGTGCTCGGACGTGCCGTCCAAATACGAACAATAATTTTAATTTTTGCCCGGAGCTACATAGCAGTTGACGCCTCGACCGAGCGACGGTGACAACACCAGCCTGGTCCGCAGCAACACTGTTGATCGCCACTTTTCGGTGACTCGAAAGTCTTTTTCTTCTTGAAAGAACGAAAGGTGAAGCAAACTTTCCATGCTAAATCTCAGCCCTACTACCCTCGTACCGACTTGCTGTGTGGAACCAGACTACATAGATGCAGAAAACAGAAGGAAACAAGCGAAAACAAGAACGAATAAAAAAAAAAAAGCCAACCCTCGAGGTGCAACAACACAACGACAAACCAAATTAGCCCCCACCCCCATCATACATACACCCGAATCCGAATCTCTCTTCTCCGTTTTGATGTCAGCATCGCACCGCGCCACGCGCTTGTGAAAAGCCTGCCCCCCCCCCCCCCCCCCCCCAAAAACCCAACCCACAAACACCACACCCTACAAATTTCCCCCCC